TGTTTTGGGCCAGACTTTGGTGCAGAAATCTGCTGGATCTTACAAAGCCCGACTGACCCGGGTCTTGATTGACCAGGGTCAGGAGATCCCCGAGATTCTGGATCCGCTGTGCTTTCTGGGCGATGTCGCAAAAGTGGGTCAGAAGTTCCAGCCCGGAGCTTCTGTGATGTTGATGCCCGCCCTACTTTGCCGTCGCCTTTTTCGCCATGCTTTTTAAAGGATGTCCGTCCTGTGGGCAGAGTTGTGGCGATGTTCCACACAGCCGTGGAACCTTTCGCAAACCTTGGGTGGACATGTCCGCCTTACTCTGCCGAGGCAGACTTTTCCGCCATACCTCCCGCATCGCCTGGAGTCGTTGTCAGAAAGTCAGCCAGAGCACCGCGGATCTGGAGTCGGGGAACCCAGCCGTGTCGTCGAGGGCCCTCCAGACCTGGACGTACGATGCCCTGACTTTTCCAGTACCCCAGACGTCCCGACAACTTCCCCCACTGGCTGGGTCCTCATCCTGGAGGGTTTCTCCGAATGGCTTAGGCGACCCCTCCTCCTCCTCCTCCTCCTCCTCCTCCTCCTCCTCATCCTCCTCCTCCTCCTCCTCCTCCTCCTCCTCCTCCTCCTCCTCCTCCTCCTCCTCCCCCTCCTCCTCCCCCCTCCTCCTCCTCCTCCTCCTCCTCCTCCTCCTCCTCCTCCTCCTCTCCTTCCTCCATTCCCCCTCCCCCCTCCCCCTCCCCCTCCCCTCCTCCTCCTCCTCCTCCTCCTCCTCCTCCTCCTCCTCCTCCTCCTCCTCCTCCTCCTCCTCGGGTCGCCTATGGCCCCGGGGGAAACCGCGCACCTCACCCCGAGCCTCTTCTCTCGACGGCCCCGAGGCCCGGCGAGGGCTCCCAGAAGCCGAACACGGCCCAAACCCTCCCCCCCTCCCATCGTGATTGGTTCCCGACGCGAGCATGTCTGGGGACGTGCAGCGGCATCGGCATTCCCTGAGATCCGCGTTGCAACACACTGCAACATCGCAACAAAAATCACACCCGGAACCCCGGACCCCATCTCTCTTCGCCATTTTTCCGAGCCGGATCCATCCGCGAGGGCCCCGGGACCCGAAGTCGAGCGACAACGCCCGCTGTGAAACACCTGCATCGCCAGGAAATCTCGGGGCTTTTCGCTCCCCCCCCCAGAGAGCCCCGGCGGATGCCCGCACGCCGCGCCGGGCCCGGCGGCCCGCCGTGAGCGGATGCCCGCCGGCCGGCCGCTGGCGCCCGGCCCGCCGCGGCGGGTGCGCGGCGCCGCCGCCCGCGCCGCGCGGGGGGGCCGCTGGCGCCCGGGCGGCGCTGGCGCGCCGCCGGCGCCCGGTGCCTCGCCGCGGCCGCGCTCGCGCTGGGCTGGAGGGTCGCGGGCCGGGCTCCGGGCCGGGCGCCGCGTCGTCGTCGTCGTCGTCGTCGTCGTCTTCTTCGTCGTGCAGAGTTCTCGGTGTTTCAGAGTGGCGTTTCCACAACAGCATGGCTTCTCGTTATAGGATCGGCGGTTTGCCCCTGGCTCCAGTCGTTCAGAATGGCACCCTCGCCCCAGCGAGGACCGCTTTTCTGGATCCGAGTCCCTCCTCATCGTTGTCGCCCCCGTCATTTCCCCTCCTCCGCCCTCTTGGTCCTACCTGGACCTCTCCTGCTCCTTCTGCTCTTTCCACCCCGGCTCCTCCTCGTGCTGCTGCTGTTCGTCCTCGTCCTCCTCGTTGGTCGTCCTGCTCCTGTTCCTCTTGCTCTCCTGCTCATCCGCTGCCTCCTCCTCCTCCTCCTCCTGCTCCTCCTCCAGTGTACGCAGCTCTCCTGCTCCGATAGCGCATGACACGATTGGGTCCTTTGTGTATTTCCACGTCTGCCAAGACACGCGTCGGCGGATAAGGGAAAGCGCGCAACGAGGGGTCGGATGTCAGATCTGGCGCGAGTGCGCCTAGTGCCCAGTTTGCCCTCCCTTCCCCTCTCCCTTCACCACGTCTTTGAGCACCCAGAGCACTTGAGAACCTCCAGGTCTCTCCTTCGCAGAGCCTCCCATAACCTTGTCCCTCCTCTTCCCTCATCCCCATTTTCCCTCCACCCCCTCGCTGGCCAGGACTGTCGCTCTTCTGAGGGCGGCACTCCCCCTGCTTGGCTGTTACCTCGCTGCAGGTATTTATGTGGATCGCCCGTCCGATCCGAGCCTCCTCATGTCACCCGCGGGGGGCAAAATCGCGCGTCGCGGTCTGGACTGCAGAGCTGCGCTTGGACGACTCGAGGGTGCGACGGCGCGAAATTCACCGCGCATTGCGCATCGCGGGACGCGATGCGCGAAGTTTGGTGACGGCGGAGAAGGAAGAGCAGGAGGAGCAGGAGGAGCAGGAGGAGGAGGAGGAAGAGGAGGAGGAAGAGGAGGAGTAGGAGGAGCAGGAGGCGGAGGCGGAGGCCCAGGCGGAGGCGGAGGGGGAGGGGGAGGAGGAGGAGGAGGAGGCGGAGGCCGAGGCGGAGAGGAACGCAGGATGAGGAGGAGGAGGAGGAGCAGGAAGAGAGGAGAGAGGAGGAGGAGGAGGAGGAGGAGGAGGAAGGAGGAGAGGAGGAGAGGAGGCAGCAGCAGCAGGAGGAGGAGGAGGAGGAGGAGGCTGAGGCGGAGGCGGAGGCGGAGGCGGAGGCGGGGCGGAGGCGGAGGCGGGCGGAGGCGAAGGGGGGGGGGTAGGGGAGGCGGAGGCGGAGATGGAGAGGAAGCACGAGGAGAGGAGGAGAGGAGGAGGAGGAGGAGGAGGAGGAGGACATCCACCCTGGCCAGGCCTGGCACCCCTGAGTGCAGCCAGCGGGTGCCCCCCCCCCCCCAGCAGGCTCAGCTCGGGGGCCTGGGCAGCGCCGCGGGCCTCCCGCGCCGGCCTGCCGGCCCAGTGGCGGGCGGCCCGGGCCCCGCACAGGAGGTGGCACTGGAGAGGAGGGAGAGTGGCGATCCCGCCGCTCCTCGAGACAAGTGGGGAGGAGGAGGAGGAGGAGGAGGAGGAGGAGGAGGAGGAGGAGGAGGAGGAGGAGGAGGAGGAGGCTCGAGGTTCGCCTTCTCATTCCTCGTTCTGCCGATCGGCGCGGGCCCTCGCCCCTTTCCCCCCTTCCCCCCTTTCCGCCCAATTCAGAAGCCGGGCGAAGGCTGGCAAACCCGAGCTTCATTCCGGGAACATGTTTCTTTCTTCCGGGAAGACCGTCTCAGCAGCCACGGATTTGCCAGCCCTCGCCCAGCTTCCGCCCAGTGAGTGTCGAGCTGCAGAACAAGAAAACGCTGACGTGCAAGGTTTGGGGCACTCTTGTCTTGGAGGCCTGGACATGGGCACCAACACCAACTCAGGGGGGTGCCTCCACAGGGCGTAGATGATCCTAGCTTTCGGTGTCGGTGGTAACATTTCGGCCACCTCGGAAGCCAGCACCCTGCCACCGTCACCGAGACCGGGATCGTCTTCCCTCGCTGGAGAGACGCCGCCGATGTTGTCGGTGCTCGGCGGGGGGCCCACCTCGGGACGCGCCTGCAGCAGCCGCGCCTCGCGGAGGGCGTGCTGGGCCTGCCCAGGCCGTCCTGAGCGGCCGCCGGAGAGCAGGGCCACGAGGAAGTCGGGCGCGTCCCTCTTCAGGAGGAGTAGTCAGAAACAGTGGAAGAACAGTCTGGGGGCGATGTTCTGACTATTCTTGGGGGTTATTTCGTTTTGGTTTTTTGGGGGGTATCTTCTGTGTTTGGTCCAAAATCCGCCTGTAGGGGGACATGCCCGACCTGGAGCTATGACCCGAAAGCCAATGGGCCGAGCATCGGGCGACGAAATCTACACATATCCACTGCTCCCTGGCCGGGCCCTTCCTGGACCCAGGAGCTGTGTATACGCTCCCCTGGCCAAGCCAGGAGGGCGTGGCGTACACACCGCTGCTGGGCTGCAGATGGGCCTGGCTGGGGAGCAGTGCATGTGTATAGATCTCGTCGCCCTGCGGGAGGCAGCGGGGCAGGAGAACGGGGGGAGGGCCCCCGGCCTCTCCCAACCGCAGTCCGAGCAGACGGGGTCGGCGGGTCGTGCCGCATCGCCGACGCCTCGGCGGTGCGGTTCCGTGTGGGGCCAGGTCTTCCCCACGCCCACGGCGCCGGTGCATGCGGCGGATGCGGCGCGATCCTCCGACCCCATCTGCTCGGAGCCCATTTGAGGTCGTCTTCGGCTGGGTAAGAGGACGAAGGATGTCATTACAAGGAGGGGCGAATGGAGGAGGAGGAGGAGGAGGAGGAGGAGGAGGAACAGAAGAAGGATGAGCATCGTAGCGAACGAGCGCAATGTGGAGCATCATGATGGTGATGATGTCCAGGAGGAGCTCATTTGGGGCCGACTTTGGGCTGTATTTGGCTCCTGTGCGGCGATCCTTGGGGCTCACGAGGCTCTTTGGCCGTCTTGGGGCCCTCTTTGGCCATCTTGGGGCGCTATTGGAACGTCTTGAGGCCATCTTGGGCCGTCAAGAGGCCCTCTGAGGCCGTCGTGGGTCCCTCTGGAGTCCCTCTTGGGACAGCTTGGGGCTCTCCTTGGGCCGTCCATGACCGTCTATGAGCCCTCTTGGGCTGTCCCGAGGAAGGCTTGCAGGAACATTGGGCCATTTGGGTGATCACACGGGGCCATCTTGGAGACATCTGGGACCTGGGACAGTCTTGAGCTAAAGGAAGCCTGGAAACGTGAAGACGCGGAAATGTTTCAAACCCTCCGGGGCATCAAGGATTTTGGCTGCTCGGGGCCCTACTAAGGGTATTCTTGCGGCCGTCTTCAACCGTATTCGGGGTTTCTTGGGCCGTCTTGAGGCCATCTTGAGCTGTCTTGGGGCCATCGTGGAGGCATCTTGAAGGCATATTGTGTCATTTTTGTGATCTTTGTGGTCTAGCAGCATGAGCACAGCATCAGTATCAGTTCCACTTCAAGCGTTCTAATTTTCTCTGCTAATCAGAGTGCGGTAGCACAGTCAAACTGTCGCAAGGTATCCTTGTTGCAGCTGTTTTCCAATCCAGCTCTGCTCTTCCAGCGGGATCGTTCGATGCGGACTGTCTGCCCGCCTCCCCGTCGTCATGTCATTTGATCGTCACATGCGTCCGCATGCGCCTCAGCTCGAGCTGGCAGCGGCCCCCTTAGCCGCCCGCTGTCGGGCGCCCCGCGCCCCGGAGCTTCGAGCGGGTCGAGGCCGCCAAGCGCTTGCGCGAAGTGGCAACCCGCCTCGGAGTCGCCCGCGAGGCCGACAATGCCGGGCGGACGAAGGCATCAACGAGGGCGCGGAGCACATCAACAAGTTCCACGACGTCCACAGCCTGTGCAGGGCCATGCCGATGCGCGACGTCCACAGCCTGTGCAGGGCCATGCCGATGCGCCTGAGACTCTGGAGGGTCAAGGGCGGCGACCGCCTTCGCTAGTAGTGCCTGCTCTGACACAGCGCCCACATAAGCGCTGACATGTGGCCGCCACCTCACGGGGGGTCCGACTTCGGAAGAGGGGCTGGACTATGATACTGGCGCGTCGCAGTGGGCCATGATCCAGGCCTGCCGCGCGGGAAACACGTCGGGGGGGTGTTGAGTCCCTGACCTGAAGGCCCCAACGTGGCTCCAACATGGACCCCGTCATCCACACTTGCCTTGCGGGAAACACGTCGGGGGGACGTTGATTCCTTGACCTGAGGGCCTGAACACGGTCTTTTACATGGGCCCCGTCATCCACGCTTGCTTTGCGGGAAGCACGTCGGGGGGACGTCGAGGCCCTGACCTGAGGGCCTCAACGTGGCTTCAACAGGGGCCCCTTCGTCCTCGCCGGGAAACACGCCGTGGGGATATTGATGCCCTGCTCGGAAGGCCTCACCGCGGCCTCAACGTGGCCCCTATCATCCACGCTTTCTTTGAGGAATTCACGTCGGGGGGGGCGAGGCCTGGGCGTGAGGGCCTTCACGCGGTCCCAGCATGGCTTCGACATGCGCATGATCTCCACGCTTGCAATGCGAGAATCATGTCGGGGGGGGCTCGAGGCCCTGACCTGCGGGCCCCAACGTGGCCTCAACATGGCAGGGACATAGGCGAGAACCAATGCTTGCAATGAGGCTCTCACTTCTGGGGGGCGTTGAGGCCCTGGCCTGAAGGCCCATCCGTGGCCTGAGCATGACCGAAACACACGCGACAACCTGAACTCGCCAAGAGTGAGTCGTTTCTGGGGGATGCTGAGGCCTTGGCCCTAAGGCTTCCATTTGGGCAGTGGAGTTTTTAGCTGGAATTGTAAATGTTTAGTGTTGTTCGTTTTGGCGCTAGTGGTTGTAGCAGCGCAGTGGTCGCAGTTTGGGCTCCTTAAGTATGTTATCCGTCATGATTTGCCATTACCTCCAGGGCGCACGCTCACTGCAGGCGAATTCCAATTTCACTTACTGAGTCGGCGCCGTCATGTGTCTATGCTTGCCAAAGACGCGCCACGGGCCAGATAGAAAACTTACTTCCTGCGTTCCGAGTGGTGCGCGCGCGAACTTTCGCCGCCGCGGCTTTGCGCTGCTCCCTCGAGCTCTCGAGGCCTCGTTCGGTGGCTGAACCGATCTCCCCAGCCCCGCCCGCCCTGCGCTCGCCCCCACTGAGGGCGCGATGCCCCTTTTGAGGCAATGGCGCCTCCCGCGGCCACCACCGTGTCAATGTTGAGCTACACTGTCAATGCCTCGCTCTCCTGGGGCTTTGCTGCGTTCCTGCTCGTGAACATGTGTCACGTGTGCGGAGCTCCACTGTCAATGCCGCGCTTTCCTATCGCCTTGCTGGGGTCCTGCTCGCAACACGCACCGCCAGAGGCGGCGGAGAGCTTGAGAGATCTACCTACCAAAAGAGGCGCGCGCCCCCCCGCCCGTCCCTCTCCTCCTGAGGTTGTACAGCTTTATAAACTCAAGAGGGATGGCGCCCTTGCGCCGGTGAAAAACAAGGTCCGTTGTGCCTGTGCCAGTGCCTGTGTTAACGGGGCGGTGCATGCACTTTGGTGTTTGACATGCCGGAAGTGCCTGCGCTTTGCCATGGGCGGTGCCTGCGCTTATAAGTACAGCCGTAGTCTGGTATCCCACGACAGCTCCTCTTGAGCCAAAGTGGCTCCTGAGAGAGTTCGCGCGTCCTCCTGCTCCTGATCCGCCTGCGCTTTCGGCGTCGTCGTCGAGCTTTTGTGATCGTCGTCGTCGTACTCCTCGTCCTCCTCGTCCTCCTCCTCCTCTTCCTCCTCCTCCGCATCCGCGAAATTCTCCTTCCGCCGTCGCCCTCCCCCTTCCACTGAACATCCTTCTCCTCCCCCTCCTCCTCCTCCTCCTCCTCCTCCTCCTCCTCCTCCTCCTCCTCCTCCTCCTCCTCCTCCTCTCCCTCGTCCTCCTCCACCTCCTCCTCCTCTTCCTCCTCCTCCTTCTCCTCAACCCCTTCTCTGTTCTTCCCCTTCCTCCTCCTCCTTATCCTGATCCTCTTGGTCCTCCTTTCCCTCCTCCACCTCCTCCTTCTCTTCCTCCTCTACCTCATCCTCCACCTCCCCCATCCTCTTCCGCCTCCTCCACCTCTTCTCCTTCCTCTTCATCATCAGTACCATCATCATTACCATCATCATCATCATCATCATCATCAGCATCATCATCATCATCATCATCATCATCAGCATCAGCATCAGCATCAGCATCAGCAGCAGCAGCAGCATCAGCATCAGCATTAGCATCAGCATTATCATCACAATCGTCATCAGCATCATCATCAACATCATCTTCACAATAATCGTCCTCCTCCTCTTCCTCTTCCTCCTCCTCGACTTACTCTTCTAGCTCCTATGGCCCCCTACCCTATCTCATTCATCTTCGCCTCCTCACAAGAGTCCTCATCATCCTCCTGGTGTGATTCCTCTTCCTCGCCGTTGTTTTGTTTTGTTAGTTTTCGCCCTCTACATCCTCGTCGCACGCCTCCGTTTCTTTTTTCTCCCGCTCCTCCTGCTCGCCGCGTTCCACTTTGTGACCCTTGCTTTCTGTCTCGTCTTCCTCGTCGTCCTCCGCTTCGCAGTCTTCCTCCTCTTCCTCCTCCTCTACACCCTCCTCCTCTTCTTCCTTTTCACCCTCCTATTCCTCCTCTTCCTCCTCCTCTTCCTCCTTCTCTACCTCCTCCTACCTCCTCCTACCTCCTCCTCTTCCTCCTCATCTTCCTCCTCCTCTTCCTCCTCTTCCTTCTCCTCCTTCTCCTCTTCCTCATCTTCCTCCTCCTTGGATTCCTCCTCGCAGTGTTCCTCCTTATCATCTTCCTTCCCTTCCTATTCCTCGTCCTCCTCTTCGTCGCATTCCTCCTTCGCCCCCTTATCATCGTCCTCCCCGTCCTTTTCCTCCTCATGTTCATCCTCCTTCTCCTCTTCTTCCTCCTGCTCTTTCTGCTGCTGTTGCTCCCCATCCGTACGTTCATCAGCCTCATCCTCCTTTTCCCCCTCCTCTTCCCTCCTCTTCCCTTCTCTTCCCTCCTTTTCTCCGCTTCCTCCGCCATGCCAGCGATGCCTTCGCATTCTCGATGCCGCTTCCAGTAGGCACTCTCGCTAGGGATGCTCTCAAACAGGTCGCGTTTGGGCCTGGCCCCGTCTTGCTCCTCCATCCTTTTTTCATCCGCCTTTTCTCCTCCGCCATCCTGCCTCCTCCCTGCTCGACGCGCTGTCGCTCGAGGCATCTCCAAGGTTTGCTCCAGCATGGTCCCATCTGATCAGCCCTTGCAATTTACCGAGGTACCGTGCTGGCGACCTTTCCCTGAGCACAACTCGACAACAGAGGTGTACTCAGATGGTTCGTGTGGGTCTGACCCCTCCTCGCTCTTTTCTCCTCCCGCTCAGAGGCCAGAATTTCGAGGATGTCTGAGGCGAAACGGGCCAGACCACCTCTGGCGCGGCATCTTGGAGCCCAGAGTCGGAAGGAACAGAAAAACACATGCTTCGGCGCCACCTCGTTTGAATATTTCCACGGATGGTTTCATTCGAAGATCATCGGATCATCGCTTTGTTCACCGACGCCTCGGGCGTCGCTTCCACGGGTTGCACAGTCTATGCTTTTGCTTGGGCGGGGGGGGCGGGGTCGGGCAAAGAATGTCTCACTTCCTGGGCCCATTAAACTTTTATTTGCGGTGTGGGCCACGCACACACTCTCCGCAGCTCGTCTTGCTGGCCCCACAGTAAGTTCCTGGGGGGCGACGTGTCCCGTGCTTGTTGTTTTTGTCTTGAAGTTGCGAGGAAGCATCCAGCGAGACACGTCAGGCCACCTCGCTCACGCTTTCTGGGAGCCCGGAGTCGATAGGATGCCTCAGGCGGAACGCGATGGACCACCTCGCGCACATCTTCAAGGAGCGCGGAGTTGCAAGGATGGGTCAGACCACCTCGCTCGCGACATCTCGGAGCCCCGAACTGCGAGGATCTCTCTAGCGAAACGGGGAAGACACCCTTGCGCACATTTTTCAGAGCTTAGGGTTCCGAGCATGTTCCAGGCGAAACCAGCTGGACCATTTCTTGCGCAGCATTTCGGAGCTCAGGGGTGCGAGGATATCTCAAGCGAAACGCGCTGGACCATCTCTTCGCACGGCAGTTCGGAGAGTTGCGAGGACGTCTCAAGCGAAACGCGCCAGACCACCTCGCGCGCGGCAGCTCGGAACGCAGAGTTGCGAGGATGTCTCAGGCAAAGTGGGCTGGACCACCTCGAGCTTAGAGTTCAATGATGTCTCAGGCGAAACTGGCCAGACCACATTTCGCGCTGCATCTCGAAGTTCAGATTTAGGGAGATATCTCAGGCGAAACGAGCTGGACCACTTCGCGCGCCGCATCTCGGAGCTCAGAGTTGCGAGGATGTTTCAGGCGAAACGCGACGGACCATCTCTCGCGCAGCAGCTCGGAACGCAGAGTTGTGAGCATGTCTCAGGCGAGACGCCCAATACCAGGCAACTCAGAAACAAGAGTTGATCGAGGATGTCTCTGCTCGCGCCTCCTTCGACCAGACCCAGTTTCTATAACACCACCACCCCGTTCAGCAAGCTGCTCTGGGAAAAACGAAGGCCCGCGGTGCCTGCGCCACCAGTGCAATCGTGAGGATATGCCTGCGCCCCACTAGTTGCCGCGCCCGCGGTGCCCGTGCCTGGCCGCGCGCAGCGCCCGTGCTGACGAATCGGTTGCCCCCGCGGTGCCAGCGCTGACATCTGGACGGCGCAGCGCTGCTTGGCGCCATGTTGTTTGACGCGCCCGCGGTGCCTGCGCCGGGTCGTGCGCAGCTCCTGCGCCGATGAAGCGACGGAGCCCGCGGTGCGGCAACAGCGCCGCCATGTCGGGGCGATGCTTGCACCCTGCTATTTGACGTGACTGCGGTGCTTGCGCCGAGTCACGCGCCTTGGGCTCGGGGTCCTGGCGGGAGGGAGCGGAGCGGTGGTTGTACCGCGCGTCCTCGGCGCGACGTTGCTGGTCTTGCGTGGACCAGGCGACGCCCACCTGGGCGCGGAAAGCATCGAAGCCCGCGCTCGAGAGGTCGACATTGCAACGGGTCACCAGCGCGCCCACCTCACCTCCGGGGTCGCGAAGCCCCGACGGCGTTCTGCTGACATTCGATATCGGAATATGGAAAGCAGGACTGAGCCGAAAAGGCCACGGATGGCATTGCCGTGGATGCGAAGATGACGGCGATTGCGGCAACGGCGATGGCGACAAGGCAACCCTCGCGGCTGCGGCCACGATCATCTACATGTCATCACGTCGCGCGGATCGTCTCCCAGTTTGGGTATCTTTGCCTCGTCCAGAAAACAAAATGACATGGGGAAATGCCTATACTGTGCTACTCGCACCCTACGCCTGGGCTACTCCTGCTCACGGTTTCTTGCTAGTTTTTTGCTGAAGCCGCCGCCTTCGTGCTCTGCTGGATTTTACTCCGCGGTGTGTCGCGCCATCTTCACGATCCTTATTGCGTAGTGTCCAGGTCGATTTTGCATCTGCCGCGTTCATTGAGATATGCGCAGCGGCGGTTCTAGTTGAGAGCATGGGGTCAGCACGGAAATGTTCAGGTTTTTGCCAACATGACCCCCGCAATCGGTTCAGTGAAGCCGCCTTGTTGCAAGCTGCTTTGCAGTAATGGGTGATTGATCTGAGTGGTACGCTGTTGATTTTTGGATGCGCCGCCAACGCCGGAGATCACGGCATAACTGTCGCTGTTTCTTCCCACATATCAGTTTTACGAATTTGCCCCAGGAATGCGCTTTTCTTCTGCTCCTCCTCCTCCCCCGGTTTTCTGTTCCGTTCCTTTCCTGTCCTTTCCTTTCCTCCTCCTCCTCTTCCTCCTCTTTTGCCTCCTCATCGACCTGCCCCTCCTCCTCCTCCTCCTCCTCCTCCTCCTCCTCCTGCCTTCTCTTCTCCTCTCCTCTCCTCTTCCCCCTCGTCTCCCCCCCTACCTTGCAGTTGTTCCTCCTCCCCCTCTGTCTCCCCCCCTCCCCTGTTTGTCCTCCCCCGGCCCCCACCGTCCCACCCTCCCTCTTGATCCTCCCGTTCTCCTAAGAATCGGGGAGGACGGCGGAGGACCGAGGAGCCGCCAGGGCCGAGGAGCATCCAGGGCCGAGGGCCGAGGAGCATCCAGGACCGAGGAGGGCCGACGATGGAGACCCGAGGATGGTCGAGGATCGACGAGAGAAGGCCTCGAGGGTCGAGGCTCGCAGCCGAGCGGGCGCCGCAGGCGGCGGCCACGGAGGAGCTGCTGCGGCGACAGGTCGGCTTCGGGAAGCACAAGGGCCTGACCTACCGGGAGGCTCGAGGGACAGAAGCTCGCCAGCCTTCCGCTCCCCAGCCTCCCTCCTCGCCCCAGCCTCCTCTCCTCCTCGCCACCTCTCGTTCCCTCCCCCCCCACCTCGTCCCCTCCTCTCCTCCTTTCTCCTCCCCTCAGCTCCCCTCCTACCCCTCCTTCCCTCCTCCCTCCCTCTCCCCTCCTCCGTTCTCCCTCCCATCCTCCTTGCGAGGCTTGGTCCCGTCTCGCCTCCTCCTTTCGCCTCATCCCCATTTCCCCTCCCCATCTCCGACGATGGTTGCCTCTGAGGCTGGTATTCAGATCTCAGAAAAACGGCACAGACACAAACTTTCGGAGTCCCGCGCGGGTTTCCTTGATCTGCGCTGGGCCCCCTTGGCCAGGCCTCTGGCGACGCCCCTGGCGTTCTCCGCGCGCCAGGGAGGGGGGCTGAGCACAGGTCCGAGGAAAATCCGCGCGGTCCTCAGAGAGTTTGTGTGCTGTGAGGCTTTCTCTTGTAGAGGTGATGGTGACGGAGCCGAGCTATTGTGATAGATTTGCGAGGGCCCACGTGAAGCCCAAGCACGAGTTTACGTGGCCATTCATGTTCGATTTCGTCCAGGCGATGCGGCGGCTGGGTTTCCCGCGCGACGCTGCGGAGCGGGGTGATTTACGCAGAGTCGGCTTCGGGAAGTATTACAACCTGACGTACAGGGAGGCGCTGAACCAAGACCCGGACTTGAGCCGCGACCAAAAATCGTCCAGGATTAGGGAGTGCTTCTTCTGAGATGTCGTTCCTGCTGGGAGGGGATGACTTTGGATCATACACCTCACCCCTGGGGAAGAAGCTACTTGTTGGGTTTCTCGGAAGGAGTGCATGCCGCTAACCCTGGCTACCCAAACCGTCCCTGAATTTCAAAGCGGAGGTTCCGACCTACTGTGGAGGTCTGTGTCCCTTGAGATCCGACGTTGCAAAAAAGTTGCAACATCCGCAACAAAAATTACACCTGGACCCCCGGACCCCACCTTTCTGCATCATTTTTCGAGCCGAATCGACCTGTGAGGGCCCCGGGGCCCAAAATCGAGCGAAAACGCCCGTTGCGAGAAAATTGCAACGCCAGGATCTCAGGATCCCGGCCCGTGAAGGTTCCAGCTCCATGCTTGCGGAGTATTCTCGTGCTCCTCGTCCTTGGGCTCCCCACCTTGGAATGGTCCTCGCTCGGGGGTCCGTCTCCACGGGCCCCCCCCGGCCCCTCGGGGAAGGGGCTCCCGCCCTTGATCCACATTCTTGTGACCATGTCTCGGCAGCATGTTGCCCTCAGGGATTCTCTCTCGCCGCCGAGGACTATTGCGACTGGTTTCTGACTCTGAATTGCCCGGCGCAGGGTCGGGCGCAGCACGACTTCGTACTGTGGCTGCGGGCGGAGCGTCTGGTGGCTGCGGCGCAGCGCGACTTCGTACGGTGGCAAGAGCCAGCCGCCAGAGGACGGGGCGCGGCGGAGGGGCTGCTGCGTCTTGTGTCTTGTATCCATCTGGGACGCTGTGATCGGAAGCTCGATCTCTGGAAGCTTCGGACCCATCTGGGGACGGGGATCGGGATTGTTTCGAAGAAGAGAACACTGCATGATAACACATTTTCGGAGCTCCGCGCGGCTTTTTCGGATCGGCGCTGGGCCCCCTGGCGGCGCCTCTGGCGCCGCCCCGTGCGCGCTCCGCGCGCCAGGGAGGGAGGGGGGCCGGCGGCGATCCGGAAAACCCGCGCGCTCCCCACACGGCCGACACCCTGTCTTCATAGCTGTGGTTTCCTGATAATCAAAGAGCTCGTTTACTACTGCGTGTAGAAAGCAAACAGCGGGACAAAAAACACAACAAGAACCAAGAACGCGCGCAGCAGAAAGCGCAACAAAACGAGACACAATAATGATGACTAACAAATTGTTCGATGAAAACACGACGGAGCCTGCGCCGACAAATAGTGCAGCAAAAAGTGCGTCCCCAAGACGCACAACTGGGCACAGCTTTTGTTGCGCACTTTGTTTTTGCGTGCTCGTGCTTTTGTTTCGCTTTCTGTTTATGGGTTCTGCTTCAGGGGATCCCAGTCCTGACTGTCTCATATCAGGAGGGGAAAAAACACACAGACACCATTAATCGTCGACCCCAAAGAAAATATAGGAAAATATAGGAATTGGGTGGGAAGACAAAAACCAAGAAAATATGGGGAAATATGGAGAACATGTTTATTTGTGTGTATTTATTTGTGTGTCCTTGGGCCCCTTGATCATAGTTTGCTGCCCTGCTTCATTATGTGAGCCTCAACCGAGGAGCCAGCTGGAGACAACAGGTGGATCATAGTAAACCCAGTATGCACCAACGCAGCTGCAACACATCCTTCCGCCTCAAGAGTCTCCTCCTCAGAAGTCCGTGTAAGCCTTTTTATTTCATTGTTAGAAGCACCGCTTCGAAAGACCGCCACCCTGTGGGCCTGCCAAGCACGAGTCCCGTCTTGAACAGGAGTTGCCCTGCATCCTTCTCGCGAACAGGAAGTAATAATTGCGACCAGGTGTGTCCGTAGAGCGAACGAGTTCAAAGAGGAACCCACCGAGGTCGCTGCTTTGAAAGGGCACCGCCCCGAATCTGGGCAGCTGCTGCTCAAGTTTGCGCTGTCTCTCATGGCGCAGAAGCTACATTTGTCACACCCGTTGTGGAAAGGAGTGGCCCTCCATCCGCATCCATCCGCTTAGCTGTAACCCGTGTCGAATCTGGACGCGAGGAATTCTCAAGTGAGAGCCAGTTTTGTTCGAAAGGAGCAGACCTCCACGGACTGCTGCATGGTCTAAGGAAGAATGTACACGGCGCCGAGTCGAGAGCTACAGGTTGCAGGCCGCCTCCCTCTATCCTTTTAGCTATTACCTGTCTTCAAGACGCATGTGCGCGGCGCTAAGGCGAGAGCTCCATCTTGAGGACGGTCCCCTTTCACGCTTGTAATTGCTGCAAGCTTTTAAGACGAAATTGCGCGCCGCTGCTAAGGCGAGAACTCCATTTTGAAAACGACCCCCCCAGTCCATCCTATAGGCGGGACTGATTAGTAGGTCGGGCCTGCCAAACCTGTATCCGTCGCAAGCTTTGAAATTATCCCAGTGCGACCCTACCTAGGAGTTGGAGCATTCAGGAAAGCAACAGCTAAGCTAAGCTAAGCTAAGCTAAGATGGGGTAAGCTAAGCTAAGCTAAGCTAAGCTAAGCTAAGCTAAGCGAAGCGAAGCGAAGCTAAGCTAAGCTAAGCGAAGCGAAGCGAAGCTAAGCTAAGCTAAGCTAAGCTAAGCTGGGCTAGGCAAAGCTAAGCTAAGCTAAGCTGAGCTGAGCTAAGCTAAGCTAAGCTAGGCTAGGCTAGGCAAAGCTAAGCTAAGCTAAGCTAAGCTAAGCTAAGCTAAGCTAAGCTAAGCTAAGCTAAGCTAAGCTAAGCTAAGCTAAGCTAAGCTAAGCTAAGCGAAGCTAAGCGAAGCGAAGCTAAGCTAAGCTAAGCTAAGCTGGGCTAGGCAAAGCTAAGCTAAGCTAAGCTGAGCTGAGCTAAGCTAAGCTAAGCTAGGCTAGGCTAGGCTAGCTAAGCTAAGCTAAGCTAAGCTAAGCTAAGCTAAGCTAAGCTAAGCTAAGCTAAGCTAAGCTAAGCTAAGCTAAGCTAAGCTAAAGCTAAGCTAAGCGAAGCTAAGCTAAGCTTAGCTAAGCTAAGCTGGGTGAACCCAGGGGGCGCAACTGGGGGAACCAGGGGGGCGCAACCGGGGGAACCGCCCGGGGTGAGCAACACTACCCGCCCCCTTTAGCAAAGAAAGTAAGAACCCTTCTAGGCAGAGCCTAGGTAGGGAACATAATGTGCACGGCGCGCAGGCGAGCACTCCATCTGGAAACGGACCCCCCTTAGTCCGTGAGGCTGTTGCGATTTGCGAGGTTCAGAACGGAATTCAGTAGAGAGGCAGTCTCGGGCGAAGCGCCAGGGCCGTCCTACCGGCACGCCTGGTGTGCAGGCGAGGCGGAGTTATCGAAGACGCTTACGGCGAATCACCGCCGCTCCATGCCTTTCGGGGACACCCCTATGTGGCCAAACATTCGGGCAACGTTTGGCCACGCTAGTGGACCATGCGTTCCCCCAGCCGTTGTGGAAGCCCTTCGGGGAAGACGAGGGGGAGGAAGAGGAGGATGAGGAGATGGAGGAAAACGGAGGATGAGGAGAAGGATGAGGAGACATTTTGGGAGCAGCTTGGGTCATTCTTGCAGCCTCCTGGGAGCTCTGGGGGCCTCTGGGAGGCCTCTTGGGCCTCCTTGGGCATCTTGGGTGCCTTTTGGGGCTTCTTGCGGGCCTCTCTGGCCGTCGTGAGGCGTCCCTGGCCCTTCTAACGCCGTCGGAAGCCGTCTTGGGAGCCTCTCTGGGCCGTCTTGGGGCCCTCTTGGGGTTTGGGCGGTCTAAGGGCAACCTTGGGGGCCTCTTGGGCCGTCGGAAGGCCGTCTTGAAGTAAATGCCACAATCCTGCGCTTCTTGGGCCGTCTTAGGGTTCTCTTGGACCATGTTGGGACCGTCTCGGAGGCCATCTTGGCGCCATCGTGGGCTCTCCTGGGGCCGTCTCGGAGGCATCTTGGAGGTCATCTTGGCCGTCTGGGAGCCGATAGGGGCCAACGGGGACCGAAATATCAGAGCTTTCTTTGTGGCCAGCGGGCTGGGCCAAGACCCAAGGGGGAGCTCTTCAGAAAAGAAGCAAAGGCACACCGTGCACCCCTGTGGCAAGACCACATGGGGCGACGGATCGAAGACGCCTACGCTGAATCACCGCCGCCCCCTGCCTTTTTGGAAGCGCCTATGCGGCCGAACGTTGAGGCCAGACCTGCCAAGCTATCAGACCATGTCTTCCCCGAATCGGTTTGGAAAGCCTTCGGGGAACACGTGGGCATCTTGAAGGTCATCTTGGCCTTCTGGAGGCCATTTTGACCCTTCGGGCCTTCTTGGAGGACGTCTTGGAGGGCTCTTGGGCCGTCTTGGAGGCCATCTTGAGCGTCTTGGAGGCTTCTTGGGCCGTCTTGGGGACCTCTTGGGGCCGTCTTCGGCCTCTTGGGCGATCTTTAGCGGCACTTGGGCCGTCTCGGGCCGTCGGAAGGCAGAAAAAAGCAAATGTCACAATCCTTCAACAACTTATGGGAAATCTATGATTTTGTCCTTTTCGGGCCTTCCTGGAGGCCCTCATGGAGGCCTCTTGGGCCGTCTTGGGCCATCTTAGGGCCATCTTCGGACGTCTTAGTGGGCTCCTGGCCCGTCTGACGCCGTCGGAAGCCGTTCGGGGGGCCTCTCTGGGCCGACTTGGGGCCCTCTTGGAATGCTCCAGGGCCGTCTTCGAGGCCATCTTGGGCGTCTTAAAGGCCACCTGGGCCGTTTTGGGGGCCTCTTGGGGCCGTCTTAGGGTTCTCTTGGGCCGTTCTGGGGCCATCTTGGAGGCCTCTTGGGCGATCTTGGGAGGCTCTTAGGCCGTCTCGGGCCGTCGGAAGGCCGCAAAAAAGCAAATGTCAAAATCCTTCGAACACCTTAGGGAGGTCAGTGCTTTTTTATCTGGCCTTCATTGAGGCCCTCTTGGAGGCCTCTTGGGCCAGCTTCGAGCCAACTTCGGCCATCTTGGTGGGCTCCTGGCCCTTCTGACGCCGTCGGAAGCCGTTCGGGGGGCCTCTCTGGGCCGACTTGGGGCCCTCTTGGGGTTCTCCAGGGCCGTCTTAGAGGCCATCTTGGGCTCTTGGAGGCCTCTTGGGTCGTCTTTGTGCCCTCTTGGGGCCGTCTTGGGGGCCTCTTGGGCAGTCCTGAGGCCACCTTGAAGGCCTCTTGGGCGCTCTGGAGGCGATCTTGGGGGCCTCATGGGTCGTCTTGGGTCGTCGGAAAGACGAAAAGGAGTAAATACGAAAAGCCGTTAAAAACCCAAGGACCATCAATGATTTTAGCCTCTTCGGGCCCTCCTGGAGGACCTCTCGGAGGCCTCTTGGGCCGTCTTGGAGGCCAGGAGAGGAGGAGGAGGAGTAGGAGGAGGAGGAGGAGGAGGAGGAGGAGGAGGAGGACAAGTAGGAGGACGAGGAGGAGGAGGAGGAGGAGGAGGAGGAGGAGGAGGAGGAGGAGGATAAGAGGAGGATAGGAGGAGGATAGGAGGAGGATAGGAGGAGGATAGGAGGAGGAGGAGGAGGAGGAGGAGGAGAGGAGGAGGAGGAGGAGGAGGAGGAGGAGGAGGAGGAGGAGGAGGAGGAGGAAGGAGGAGGAGGAGGAGGAGGAGGAGGAGGAGGAGGAGGAGGAGGAGGAGGAGGAGGAGGAGAGGAGGAGGAGGAGGAGGAGGAGGAGGAGGAGGAGGTGGAGGAGGAGGAGGAGTAGGAGGTAGGAGGAGGAGGAGGAGGAGGAGGAGGAGGAGGAGGAGGAGGAGGAGGAGGAGGAGGAGGAGGAGGAGGAGGGAGGAGGAGGAGGAGGAGGAGGAGG